AAGCAAAGGAGTATAGTGACATCACCGGACGGCATTAACAGCTGGTCGATTGAGATGTTACTGAGGGAGTAATGATGACTCAAAGTAATCGGATGAAATTTAGACTAATCTACTAGATTGTTGCATTGATTTGGTGTTTAACACTATCAGACAGGTCTTTGAACAACTGTGGCGTACAGCTTGTTACAAGCACTCCACAGCCTTATGGACAAGGGCAACTCTTTGCTGTTTATTAGTATGCCTTATGACAGTTTTTGCTGATCAAAGGAAGCTTGAGGGAACTGTAAGTAACCAAACTCAATAGCTCTTTTTCACTACGGAAAATCCAGGAAATGACAGCATACAAAAATGTAAATTAAAAATAGTTATCAACAGTATCCTAGTAACTGCCCTCAGTTGGGCTGAAAATTGCATTTCGGAGCTTCTAAATTTCAAAAGGTTCTATTTGAGCATACCTTCAGGTGCCCATGATTGAAAAGGCTATGGGACCTTACAATTAATTTTCATTCCCCTCTGCCTGTTCCACCATATTGGCAGCCACATACAGTCGACTCCCAATAACTAGAACCTTCAAGGGAAATCGAAAAAAGTTCGAGTTATCAGGAGCTCGAAGAAAATGGCTGAGAGTTAGGGTAAAAAACAGTTTTTACTGCACAGTGAACATTTTAATCACATTTAATTGTAGAAATGTCAAGTGAAAATTAAAAGATACTTCTAGATTATAAATCAGAACGTAACGTAACAAACCATAGCCTAAATAGAGCATGTGTTTTACTGTTTTGAGAAGTAAAGCTGCTTCACATTCGCCTGTGACAATCAATATCAGCCTCCACTAGTAAACTATACTCCTACAACACGTCAATAGGAAGTCCAAAATTCAATGTTTCGGACACCACTAGACGGCTTTTTTCCAGACTTTTTAAGTGCTCAAAACATGGTTCGAGTTATTGAGGGTAAAATTATATAGAAAATGACCTGAGGGGAAACGAAAATTGGTTCGAGTTAGTGGGAGTTCGAGTTATCGTGGGTTTGAGTTACCAAAGGTAAGATTACAGTGAATGTATGACGGAAATCCAGGGGAAATCGATTTTGGTTGGAGTTAGGGCGAGGTTCGAGTTAGCGAGGGTTCGAGTTATTGGGAGTCGACTGTACATGTATAAAGGGAAACCACAGCAAAGGCACAAACATACAGTACAGTCATTGTTATACTTTAAATCCTATGATATTATGAAAATGACTAAAAACTTCTATCTGCATTAATTTTCTGCCACCACGTTTCTCACACAAATTTTCTAATAAGAGAAAACAAAGTCAGCATCCATGCAGATCAACATACAAATGCAACTGATTTGTATATCAAATCAATCAATCTTGTCAGACACTCACTGCTCTCAGTTAACACATCAGCCAGACTATTAAAAGGTGCTTGTCCATTGTCCTACCCTCGGGTTCGTCTACCTTGCCACCATTTCTGCATGTGCATGTTCATGTAGCTGTGAATTGGTTCCCCCATGTTCTTGTATCTATAGCCACAACCCCCGACAACTCCCTCCCTACAAACTGAGTGAAGAAAATGTGCCCACATGGTTATGAGGGGTAGTCTGAAATATCATTGTCTCTTTGTCATCACCCCCACTCCCAAAATGGGAATTACTGCAATTAATTGCAATTAATTTATTTATTATTAAAGAGTTTAACTTAACTTAACTTTATTATTACCTATCACACACTCGGAAAATGCATGAGAACAATCAAAGTCAGGCGCTTAAATGGCCTAAGGTTTCTCCCCCCACCCCCTTTTCTCTCTCCTCCCCTCTCTGCCCCTCTTTTTAACAAGAGGTCTGTTTTACTCAGTAATTCCAAGAAAAAAACAGCTGGAAATCCTGACCTGTTTCATTGCTCTGATTATTTTTATTAAAAGACTAATTTAGTCTAGAGTTATCTTATTCCATTAATTTCATTTGCTGTATACAAATGTACCTGTCCCTGTTACTTAAAGCAGAAAGAAACTGGGAAGCAATCTTACGTTTTGATGATTTATCGTGTCAAATAAATGATATTTTTCAATCAGCTTCCATTATGATGAAAGTTTTTGTCGTAGAGAAGAATCATATAATGCAGGAGTTAAGGATGGCCCTAGGTTATATTTAATTAGCTTTGAAGCACATTTCAGTGTTTGCATAGAAAATGTGCTTTACAAATAATGGAGATGATGATCATTGTGTCTTAATAATTATTATAATTTATTATTAAAAGATAAAACGACCTCTGTTTAATTACAGTACTGACAGCAGAGAGCCATGTGTTATCTGATAATGTGTGGTCAGCAGCGTGATTGTACTGTGAAAGCAATGATAACCAGATTCTGCTAAACCTCAAATGTTCAGAATTAAAAAAATTGGTTGACATTGTGATGAAAGTCACAGCTACATCAATTATTAGGACTAATTGTTGCTACTAGGAAAGTCATTTTAATTTCTTATTTTTCCCTTCATCAGCCATGGCTGCCTCATCCAGTCAACCTGAGACTGTAAGTAATAACTTTATTTAACGAGGGTAAAGACATTGATTACTGGTCACCCAGTAATTTTCATAATGGCTCTCCTACAATTAAAGTAATAAAATGTATCGATTAATTAATTAACTACCTATATAATCTATCAACTAAAATTACATAATGAACTGCTATTAATACAATATTGATTAATTGACTACTAATGAAACTAAAAGGTTTTACTGTGAAAGCAGAATGCAGTCTGGACAATCCAAAGGTTCATTCTTTTTTCTTAATTCTTTTGACAAATAGCTATATTTTATTCCTGTTACACCATAAAGAGTCATTTCATCAGGGGCACCCAACGACAATTTTCGGAAAAATATCTGTTCGGAAGACGATTTGAGAGCTAGAATTTTCGGAACATTTGTTGTAAAATTTCTTGCTTGCCTGTTCCTCCTAGGATTTTCGAACATCCAAAATATGGTATAATTGCCTATTTTAAACGGATTTTTACTCTAAAAAGGTCACCTAGAATTTTCGGGAGCCTTTTTTCTGGCTGAAATTTTCGAAAAGGTAAGATTCGATCCCTATAATTTTCGGATCACTAGACTTTCAGCTAGGAGATCCGAACAGATGAAACATTTTTAGGGGATAAAAATATGCCTATGTCTACTCTTTAAATACCAAAATACATTTAACAATGCTATGTTTTAGTGGTTTTGAACTATATTCTCCTTTGGAGCCCCTGTTTCATGGCCTTTGAAGATAACTTAATGATTATTTGGTAATGTGTCCCCCAAAATGAACATTAAAAGTTGCTAGATGCTGTGTAAAAACTGCTTTCATCAAGAAAACAGAAAACTACACGCGATGGTGTGACCATGTCCTTTTGGTGCCTGGGTGTGGTGAAAATAAGGAATGCAGTGGACATTACATTTGGGGCATTTGTTTGTTTGCTTAATAATAAAATTTGACAATATTATATTGTAATATTAATTCCTATTTTTTTTGTTTTATTCTAAAGACACTGTAATAACAACTGTATGTGTTACTGTGGTGTGAAATTGGAGTGAAAATTTGGCTATTCTATGCCTATCAACTTAGTTTACAATTTATGTACTAACAGTTGACAGTTCCCAAACCTGCTATGTTTGTTGGTCTTGTATCTCCTAACTATTCACTTTTATTGTTATTGTTTTTGTAGGCTTGCTGTTCTGAGACCAGTGATCCAGTGTTGCATGTTACTCTTCTTGGTGGTGAGTGGGGTTCATCTGCTGGTGGGTTGTCAACTATAAACAGAGAGCTTGCTATTCACCTTTCAAATCATTCAGCAGTGAAGGTTTCTTTGCTGGTCCCAGAAGGAGCTTGTAACACTGAAGAAGTAAGAGAAGCAGGTGGCTATGGAATCACCATTGTTGAGGCAAAAGAACGTGCAGCATATGATCGTCTTGATTGGTTGAGCATCCCACCCCAGGACCACTTCATGGACATCGTTGTTGGCCACGGTGTAAAACTTGGTAGACAAGTACAATTCATTAGAGACTCTGCTCAATTTCCAAATTGCAAGTGGGTACAAGTGGTTCACACTGCTCCAGAGGACCTTAGCAGATACAAATGCTACAGGGACCCCATTTCAAAAGGTGAAACAAAACACGAATCAGAAGTTGAACTTTGCAAACTTGCTGATCTTGTTGTACCTGTTGGACCCAGACTGAAAGAAGCCTACACTTCATATTTACAGCGATGCAAGACAGCTGATCGAGACGTTTTGACCATTACTCCAGGCCTTTTTCAAAGGGAGTTTGGGAATTTAGTGGCAAAACAAGATCCTAACGAGGATGGCATATTCAAAGTGTTGTTATTTGGTCGTGGGGATGATGAGGACTTTGAACTCAAAGGATACAACATTGCTGCTCAAGCATTCACTGATCAACGGCTAAAAAATAAACCTTATCATCTAATCTTTGTTGGAGCACCTGAAGGGAAGCAAGAAGAGGTTAGACAAAAACTTCTTCAGCATGGTATTGCAGAAGCACAGTTGACTGTTAGAAAATTTATACAAGGTAGAGACAGACTGAAAGATTTGCTGTGTGAAGCTGACCTTGTAATAATGCCATCAAAATCCGAGGGATTTGGTCTTGTTGCACTTGAAGCCTTGTCTGCAGGTTTACCTATTCTTGTTGGTAGTAATTCGGGAATTGCCAAAGCATTAGAAAATGTTCCTAATGGTTATTCATGCATCGTCTTTTTTGATGATCCTGCAAAATGGGCAGAAGCAATTGAAGCTGTTCGTGTCAGGCATCGAATGCGACTTGAAGAGATTAAAGCACTTAAAGCATCTTATGGAGAGATGTACAGTTGGAAGGAACAATGCAAAGAGTTTGTGAAGAGAATGTGGAAAAAGGTCAATGGTAAGAGATGCTGCTGTGAAACTCATAAAACTATGGACATGAAAAATATTGACTAAACGCCATAGGCTGTTGCGAGGAGACAGCCAATTAGGCCTAGTTTGTGGGTTTGACATTTGCTTGTGTTTCTTGAACAATTTAATCTCGTACACAGGGGTGCTTACCATTTGACGGAAAATTTCGGAAATTCCGGATGGAATTCCAACGGAAAATAGTGGGGTACGTTTTGAGGTAGTCCTTTCATTCCGGTTGGTACGAACCAAATGGAATGTTGCTTACCATTAACCAATTTCTTGGTTCCTTCTCGGTTCGAGACTCACGCGACACAAATTCGCCGTCTTTTTGGATTCAAACCGTAACGGATGTGGCATTTCTACGGTAAACTGGCAAATCGCTTACCATTATGCTTTCGACACCCCAACCGGATTTTTCTGTCAAATGGTAAGCACCCCAGATCTCTTGTCAACAAAAAGATCTGGGTACAAGATTTTGAACAATAATTATTGTGATTGGTCGCTACACAATCAATTTCCTGAAGTATTTCAATTGTACTTGTTTTTCTCAGCGCGCAAGCAATTAGTTCTAACAAAGTGATTTTGTATTTAAGTGTTTTAGCAGTGTTATGGTCATTTAGTTTTTTACATACGTGGCTATAATGGGCACTACAGTCTGTAATTATGTACCCTTTTGAAATATAGTGTCATTTATTCATTCATAGTAAACATTAATAGTACTTTTACAGCATAAAGTTATAGCAAATGAATAGAATTTTTCAGTCTTTGATGCAGGGGACTAAAAAGCTAATTATTTCTTTGACCATTCGAGGTAATAATTGTCTGCAAATTAATAAGTATTATGCGTGAATGTTCTATTATGAAAAGTGTAGCTCATGAAATACATATAAAGTAGGTCCACTGTCCAGTGCGAATCCTGAGGCACTTGCCATTCCAGCACGCCTAGTGAATTTTTACTTTCTTTAAAACAACCCTTAAGTTTCTCTTATTATTATTATTATTATTAGAAATTTGTACCGCGCAGTTTCTATGAAAATATTCAACTGCGCTCTTCAGCGAAAAGGAACTTTCAACTTTGTACCCTCGAAATAAAAGTATTGTTGTAACCAATCAACAGGGTCATCCGAAAACGGCAACAAACGAAGAATTAAAGAGCCGCTTGTTGAAGAAAGTTTTCTTGGTAAAAGTGCTGAAAAGAAACCTCCTTTTGCTGCAGGAGGTCAAACTGAAATATCTCAGTCTCAAAGTGGGCGTAAGCGTAAAATTTCAGGACCTTCCTCTTATCCAGGTATATATGTAAACACTTTATTAATTTTGACAATTTTGCTTNAAACATTAATAGTACTTTTACAGCATAAAGTTATAGCAAATGAATAGAATTTTTCAGTCTTTGATGCAGGGGACTAAAAAGCTAATTATTTCTTTGACCATTCGAGGTAATAATTGTCTGCAAATTAATAAGTATTATGCGTGAATGTTCTATTATGAAAAGTGTAGCTCATGAAATACATATAAAGTAGGTCCACTGTCCAGTGCGAATCCTGAGGCACTTGCCATTCCAGCACGCCTAGTGAATTTTTACTTTCTTTAAAACAACCCTTAAGTTTCTCTTATTATTATTATTATTATTAGAAATTTGTACCGCGCAGTTTCTATGAAAATATTCAACTGCGCTCTTCAGCGAAAAGGAACTTTCAACTTTGTACCCTCGAAATAAAAGTATTGTTGTAACCAATCAACAGGGTCATCCGAAAACGGCAACAAACGAAGAATTAAAGAGCCGCTTGTTGAAGAAAGTTTTCTTGGTAAAAGTGCTGAAAAGAAACCTCCTTTTGCTGCAGGAGGTCAAACTGAAATATCTCAGTCTCAAAGTGGGCGTAAGCGTAAAATTTCAGGACCTTCCTCTTATCCAGGTATATATGTAAACACTTTATTAATTTTGACAATTTTGCTTTCTGCTGCCTCTGTCTTGTAGTGCATGAGCAAAAGGTGGGCTGTTTTTTTCAGGTTACAGACTGGAGGCACCTTTTCCTACACTGAGGAGAGTTTACCGTTTAATTTTAAGCAGTGAAAAAATTGATTTGAGTGATTGAAACTAACCTACTGTTATGTTACCCGAATTAGTGCAGCGTTTTAACCAGGTGTTTTCATGGCAAGAAAATAAACTATTGCAAGAAGAAGTAATTAGGATACTGCCTATATTTTGATAACACGTACCTTCTCAGTGTTGCTATCTTTTACTTTCAGACATTGTTACCAGGCATTGTTACCAGGACCTTACTGATGAACAGGAAGAAATAATCCATGAAACTCTAACAAGACAAATACAATTGTACACTAAATATCGTAGGGTTTCAACAGCCGATGGAGTGTCTGCTCTGATTGAACATATACAGGATGCGTACAACTTGGCCTTGAAATCTGTGGGCGTCGGATCTCTCGAAATAACATTTCAGTGCCCCTCCCTGGAGAGTCTTGAAAGTTTGTGGAGTGACTATCAGACTGGTCACCTCAATAATATTGCTCAGAGATACCTTGTGACTGATGACATAAAGAAGAAGCTGAACTTGGAGAATGTCAA